TGCTTTGTATATGCAGTGTGTTATTTGTGTGTGCTGTCCTTGCTCCTGCTCCAACTTATGATGGCTCCTCAGACAGGGCCCTCTAGTCTTCATTCAGTGATTGCATCTCATCCTTTTTTGGTCTGTTTCTTTGTATTTAACTGAGGTGTCTCTCACAGGCCAGCCCACTGACACATCTTTTGACTATCTTGGTGTCCTTACTAGCATGTATCAAGGAGTATTCTAAGTCTCTTTCTTTGCTTTCCTGGAACAGAAGATGGTTTAGGTCTTAGGACCTACTGTTACATAGAAAAGGTGAGCAAAAGGGAATTAGACATTGAGTTTAATAAACTGGGGAACATAAGTCTGTTTGCTTGGCCAGGAAGGTACAGCTTTACACTCCAGGGGATCACAGCATTGTGCTCTGCCAAGGAGATTAACACTCCTCTTTTTCTCACTCTGGTACCAGATTGCCAGGTGGGAGTAGGTGAAAGCAGGTACATGCACAATAGACATCAAAATGCCACAAAGAAGCCTGTCAGTCAAGCCTGGGAGAGAAGAGATTCCCATCCAAAGCCCACAAAAGCTTGGGAAATTAATTGGTTCTTTGGAAAAGGCACTTGGCCTATACCATACCTAAGTTAATATAATTCCAGGGGAAAAAAGAAGCCCCCTCTCCTGCCACTCCTACCTCACCCCTTAATATGCTCACCCCATGCCCTGTGTGTTCTGTCTCCATAGCAGCTGCATGGGCAGAAGCCAAGTGGACTCCACCACTGGAGCAGCTGGGAGCAAGCTAAGCTACCTGGATGGGGACTGAGACTGCTTAGCAGCCACCTGCAGGCTTCAAAGGACCAAGCTTTAATATACTCTGGAGCACACCCAAGCCTTTTCTTAAGCATGGAGTTTTACTCTTTTACTCCTAAACTTGAAGGGTCTCCATGAGACTTGCAACCAGGGGAGTAGCAAGCAGCAGCAACTTGTCCTGGGTGTCCCCCCGAACCTGTCTCCAAGGCTCCCATTTTCTCTGACTTTCCAATGAGCTAAAAGCAGCCCCACCTTGGCTCAGTCCTGTCACTGTGACTTTCACTTCCCAGTGAGCTAACAGCAGCCTCACCTTGGCTCACTTCTTTCCTATAACGTTTCTAGGGAACCAAAACAGACTGACAGCACCACCTAGATTCACTCTTCTTGTTTCTTCTACCTTAGGTTCTTCCTTTGTTCCACTGTCCCCAGCTTTAATAAATCACTCTCAAATCACCTAGATTTGTGTTATAAAGTCTTTCCTGCACAAAGTCAAAAACTCACACCCTATTGGTTGACCTGAGATAGACCCACTCTGGGCCCAGTCCCCATCTGGTAACATAAGGGGCCTCTGGGACAACTTCAAGCATACCAACATTTGCATTATGGGGTGCCAGAAGGAGAAGAGAGAGAGCAAGAAATTGAAACCTATGTGAAATAATAATGATGAAAAACTTCCCTGACCTGATGAAGGAAATAGATATACAAGTCCAGGAAGCACAGAAAGTCCCAAACAAATCCAAAGAGGCCCACACTAAGATACATGAATTAAAATGCTAAAGTTTAAAGGCAAAGAGAGAATCTTAAAAGCAGCATGATAAAAGCAGTTAGTTACATGCAAGGAAGCTCCTATAAGACTGTCAGCTGAGTCCTCAACAGAAACTTTAAAAAGCAAGGACTTATAACCAACATTTCTGTACCCAGCAAAGCTATCATTTAGAATTGAAAGACAGGAAAAGAGATTCCCAGAGAAGAAAAAGCTAAAGAAGTTCATTACATGAAAAATGAAAGGGTCTTCTTCAGTAAGAACAATAATAATAATAATAATAATAAATACATATCTATCAATAGTTAAATCTAAAAAATAAACAAGCAGAGCAGAAACATACTCATAGATACAGAGAATATTTTGACAGTTGCCAGATGGAAGAGGGTTTGGGACATGGGTGGAAAATGTGAAGGAATTAAGTACAACTGGTAGTTACAGAATAATCACGAGGATATAAAGTACAGTATAGGAAATATAGTTAATATTGTAATAACTATAACTATGTATGATGTTAGATGGGTACTAGAGTTATTGGGATGATCGCTAAGTTATATAATGTCTAATCCCTGGGTTTTACACCTGGAACTAATATGATATGTCAACTATAATTAAAAAATAAAAATTATTTAAAGTAAAAAAATAAAAAAGTGGATTGAGTGCTGCCCTGTGAACCAACAAGTCATCTGTTCAATTCGTGGTCAGGGCGTATGCCTGTGTTGTGGAGCAGATCCCCAGTTGGGGATGTGAGAGAGGCAACTGATCGATGTATCTTTCACACATCAGTATTTCCCTCTCTCCCTCCTTCTCTCTAAAAATAAATAAATAAAATCTTTTAAATTTTTAAATTTTTATTGTTGTTCAGTTACAGTTGTCCCCATTTCCCCCCCCCATTGCTCTCTCCTGCCCTGCCCAGCCCTCCTCTCCCACATTCAATCCTCCCACACCTGGTTGTCCTTGTCCATATGTCCTTTAAATACACATGCCTTGATTGACCCTTCCTCTTCTTTCCCCCATTATTTCCCTTCCCCCTCCCCTCTGGTTATTGTCAGTTTGTTCTTTATTTCAATGTCTCTGGTACTATTTTGCTTGGTTGGTTGTTTTGTTAAGTTCCACTTATAGGTAAGATCATATGGTATTTGTCTTTCACTGCCTGACTTATTTTGCTTAGCATAATACTGTAGTTCCATCCATGCTGTTGCAAAAGGCAGGACTTCCTTCTTTATTTCTGCTGTGTAATATTCCATTGTGTAAATGTACCACCGTTTTTTGATCCACTCATTTACTGATGGGCACTTAGACTGTTTCCAATGCTTGAGTATTGTAAATAAATGCTGCTATGAACATTGGGGTGCATAGGTTCTTTTGGATTGGTGTTTTAGTGTTCTTAGGATATAATCCTAGTAGTGGAATTGCTGGGTCAAAAGGTAGTTCCATTTTTAGTTTTCTGAGGAAATTCCATACTGTTTTCCAGACTGGTGATTGCACCCGTCTGCAATCTTACCAACAGTGTTCTAAGGTTCCCTTTTCTTCACAACTTCTCCAACACTTGTCATTTGTTGATTTGTTTATGATGGCCGTTCTAACCGGTGTTAAGTGGTATCTCATTGTGGGTTTCTTTTTCACTGTTGTTAAAGTACAGTTGTTTCCATTTAACCCCCTTTGTCCCTGCCTCCTACCCTCAATCTTACCCTCTTTGGTTTTGCCCATGTGTCCTCTATTTAAGTTCCTTGATGAGTCTTCCCCTATTTCCCCCCATTACCCCTCTCCCCCGCTCCATGGTTACTGTCAGTTTGTTCTTTATTTCAATTTCTCTGGTTATATTTTTGCTTGCTTGTTTTGTTGATTAGGTCCTGCTTATAGGTGAGATCATATGGTATTTGTCTTTCATCTCCTGGCTTATTTCACTTAGCATAATACTCTCCAGTTCCAATAGTAGGGACCTGGACTAGGGAGTCAGAGCCCAATCAGGAGAGAAAGACTTCTTAGTCAGGGAAGAAATGGCAGCAAGAGTATAAGATTGGTTATATCCAGGGGATTGATCAAATAAGGAAGTAAATTCAAGATAATGGAAGTAGATTTTTTTTTAATCCTCATTGGAGGACATTTTTCATTGCTTTTAGAGAGAGAGAAAAGCATCAATGTGAGAAGCATAGATTGGTTGCCTTCTCATATGCACGCTTCTGGACAGTGTTCAAAACAAAACCTGAGTATGTGACTCGACCAGGAATCGAACCTACAACCTTTTGGTCTACAGGATGACACTCCCACCAACCGAGCCATGCTGGCCAGGTGAATAGAAGCAGATTTCTTACTGTCACAGAAGGGAGTTAGAAATGTGGAAAAAGAGCAAACTGGAACTCTTAGTGCTGGATTAGAATTAAAGGTATTAGTGTGAACTCATATTTTCAATGTTTAGATATAGAAATAAATATAGAGGTAAATGTGTGTGTGTGTGTGTTATTGGAGGGGGATGAGTTAAGTGGGAGAGATTAGAAGAAAGAGGATTACTTGGGGGCAGCTGAATCAACTGTGAGCAGGGAGCCAGTATGTGTGCCAAGATTTCACACAGAGGATTAAATTTTTGGAGTTTTTGTTTCTTGGCCTTTGGAAAAAAAGATATATGTAGCACTCAGTTTATCTCCTTTTAAATTGTGATTTCATTAAATTATCTTAACTGTTAAAAAGTAGTTACAAGTAACTGTATAGCCTTTTGTTGTGCTGTTGTGGCAATTAAAGAGATAGGAAAGGACGGAGTAGAGAAGGGCGGCCTACTCCTCTGACGTCCACTTTCAGAAGTTGCTGGAAGTGATCGTAGCAAAATGATTGAAGATTCATGATGAAGCTAGTTAAGAACAACAGGGAAAAGCAGAGAGCACTGAGAGGCAGTTTCAGAAGATATATGATCTATGTCTATGGGGCAACTGTAATAGAATAACAATAAAAATAATTAAAAAAGAGAAGATACTTGACCTAAAGTTTCACTTCCCTCGTACATTGGAGGATGGTAACTATTCAAAGTGGGAAGCTGACATGAGTTTTACAGCCACAAATGGAGAGGCGAATGTAGCTTAAGTGAGTATAAGCCAAGACTGGTTGGTGTACAAATAATTATGTTTGCATGTAGATGCAAATATACATTTTACTCTTGTTGGTGAGTTCAAATAACACAGTTCTCAGGAAAGATTTCTCTGTTTCTTTTTTCTATGCCTTCCTATTTCTTTTCCCTACCCTTTGAGTTCCTACTGTATTATCTTTGCTAGCATAAATTTAAAGGCTGTTGTTTTCACTGTGCTGACCCTGGAGAATGGGCTTCTGTCTTGAGGTTTTTAGTTCTCCTGAGATACTTTTCAGAGCTATTTGCATAACTGGGGCCTCTGTTCTTATCCAGTTGCATAATAGGAAGTATGAAAAAAGTTGCTGTAGTGTTTGGTTTCATTTAAAAGTGTTTTAAAGAGGAGATGGAAAGGATTTTTTTGAAAAGAGCAGAAGGTCTCGTCTAATATGGCTTCAGAGATCACTTATGCTGAAGTGAAGTTCGAAAATGCATCCAAGTCTTTAGGCACCAAATCAGAGCCTCCTACGGGTAAGAAACTTTTTATTGTGGTCAGAATTGATGAGAGGAAGGATGAAGAGAGAATAGTATAAACAAAGCATAGGTGGTATTAGATGCTGGTTTTCTGAATGGCCACAATTTGGAACTATAGGATTCCAGAAGATTAAGTTGACAGAAAGTAAGTATTAGGGATTGTCCTGTAACAAAACCAAGATGTGAGAAATCCACTGTAGTCCTGAGCTAAGGAGAATGCTAATTATGGGAGAAAGTTATCCTCCTGTGTCTTCTGAGGCTCAGTGAGACTGCAGTCAGGATTAATAAAGCCACTAAATTACCCCTGCAGATTGGTGAACTACTGGGCTTTGTTTCTTGACCAGTTAGAGAAGAGCTTGGGTGGAGAGTGTTGTAGGTATATTTGTTTGTACTGGACTAAAGTGGAACAAAAGATTATTGCAGATAAAACAGTAGAAAATCTTACAAAGAAAACCCATTATATCTCAAGGGAAATTGCTCTGTAATCAGAAAATCCATTGCATACTGCACCTCTGAGATGGATTCAACTAAGTTTGGGAGTAGATAAAAGGTAATTTGAGTAGCATCTATGGTATCTCAGATATAGAGCAAAAGAGAAGAAAAAGACATGTAGAGTATAAGAAGCTGTGAGAGGGTGGTGATGATTGCTTATGTTTTTCAAAACGCCTCTGTGGAGATATGGAGAGTGCTCTGAAACATTTTTTCCCTTTAAAAATATAGATCAATTCCTTATTATGTTAAAATATTCATTGTAAAAGAATTTTAAACTAGAAGTACATAAAATTTAAAATTTGTTCTTCATCTACAGATAATGATAACCTATTTAAATATATATTCTTCCAGTCAAAAATATACACTTTTATATATGTATTTGTTATCTAAAAATGAGATCATAATATACATTACTGAGAGGCTTTTTTGGTCATTACTTTGAGAAAATCATTTTTAACCATGAAACAGTGACTAAAAGATCTGACCTTATCCTATAGCTGTGATGAGGGTCGATTATAAAGATTTATCTGCTATGGCATTATTTAAAGTAGTTAAAATTGGAAACAAAATAGAAACAGATTCATTGATATGGAGAATGAAATGACAGCTGTCAGAGGTGAGGGGTCATTGGGGGGCTGAATGAAATAGGTGCAGGAATTAAGCAAAAAAAAAGCTCATAGATGCAGACGGCAATATGGTGTTTACTGGAGGGAAAGGGTTGGGTTGGAGGCAAGTAGAAGGGGTTAAAGGAGTGATAAATAGTGACAGTGGTGAACACACAATGCAATATATGAATGGTGTATTATAAAAATGTATACTTGAAACCCATATAAATTTATTAACCAATGTCACCCCAATAAATTCAATAAAAATAGAAAGTCTGGAAGATTAATGAAATATATAATGAAAGAGTATGCCACAATAATAGTGTCATAGGAGAAAATATGGTATGAAAAATGTTCTTGATATAGCATATCAAATAAATAAGAGTTCAAAAAGTAGTATATATGGTGTGTCAATCATGTGGGAAAATGTGCATGTGAATATAAACACTCTAAAAATTTCTGGAAAGGTATATACCCAAAATATTAACAATAGTTGTCCTCAATAGTAAGGATTTGTGCTTTTATATATTTTTCAAAGTTTTTACAATGAACATTATTTCTTTCCTATTTTTACATTGCTTCCAATATCAAACTTTTAGTAATAGTATGCCATCCAAGAAAAGAGAGAAGAGGAAGAAAAGGAGAAAGAGTAAGTAATGGCCAGAATTTACTACTGATAAAACTAATTCAAGATGGTGGCATAGGTAAACATGGCTCACCTCTTCACACAACCACATCAAAATTGCAACTGAAATATAGGACAACCATCACTCAGAACCATCAGAAACTGAGTTCTGACAACAATGGAAGTCTGACAACTACAGAATTAAAGAAACCATACCCATCCAGACCGGCAGGAGTGGTGGAGATGCAGAATAGGCTGGTCCCCCATCCACATGTGGTGGGTAAAAATTCAGGAGGGATATCTCAGGAGCAAGGAGTCTCAGCTTCACACCAGGCCCCCCACCCCAGGGATCCAGTGCCAGTAAGATAAGTCCCCCTAGCTTCTGGCTGCAAAAACCAGTGGGTTTTGAGTTGACGGAAGAAACGTCTAGAGTTCCAAGCAGTTCCACTTAAAGAACCCACATGTGGGCTTACACAGATGCACTTCCTCTGAGCTCCAGAGCTGGAGTTGCAGCTTGAAAGGCACAACTGGCATAAAAGGAAGAACTGAACTGTCTGGCATCAAGGCAGGAGCTGGAGGACATATTGCTTCAGACAGAAAGGTAGGCAGAGGCCATTGTCACTTTTCTGAGCCCTCTCCCCAGGAATCAACGGAGCCGGCAGGGGGGTGCCCTACCTGAGACTCCATTAACCTGTCTAACACTGTTTGCCTCACCCTGGAGACCCCCTGAGACTCCATCCAACCCAACTTATGGGCCCACCCAAACTGTTAACTATGACTTTTCCATATGGATGGCTTCTTGGCTCATGCTTCACAACTTTCAAAATCCTGTCAAATAACAACAGTTAAGTGGCCTCAGGTCCTGCACTAGCAGCAGCCAAACTAGAGTCACAGCTTAGTGTCTCCTGTGAATCTCCAAGCCCAGCACAAGTAGCAGCCATCTCAGCTTGCTTTATTGCTCATGCAGGTTGGCTCAAGGGAAAACACAGGTGGGGGCTGACCTTGGTCTGCACCACCTGGGAATGTCCAGAGCCTGCATACCCAGTGGACAGCTACCCACAAGGCCAAAGCACTGCTACCCTCCCCTACATCTGATCCTCCCAGCTGATCCTCCATGGAGAATGGAGACTTAAGGTCAGTGGTCATAGCCCATCTGTGTAGCAACTGTATAAATCCCTGCCATTGACCTGGCTACAGCAACCAAGGCTCAACTGCAAGAGGAGAGTGTATTCAGGGCACACCTTGAGTACCCAGCTTGGGTGATAGGGGAGGCTGTGCCACTGGACCCTACAGAAGACCTACTACATTAAGGCACACTACCAAGATAGGCTGCCAAAATGAGAGACAAAAAAACATGATCTAAATGAAGGAACAGATCAAAACTCCAGAAAAGAATAAAACAAAATGGAGATAAGAAATCTATCAGATGCAGAGTTCAAAAGACTGATTATAGGAGATTATATATATATGTATGTATATATACAATATCATATATATCTATATCTATCTATCTATCTATATCTATATCTATATCTATATCTATATCTATATATATAAGTTCCCTCAAGGAACTTAGTGAGGACCTCAATGGCATAAAAAATACCCAGTCAGAAATGAAGGATACACTAATTGAAATAAAGAGCAATTTACAGGGAAACAACAGTAGAGAGGATGAAGTTGAGAATCAAATCAAGGATTTGGAACACAAGGAAGCAAAAAACAATCAGGACAACAGGAAGAAAAAAAATTAAAAACAAAAATCAAGACAGGGATCATGTAAGCAGACTCTGGGACAACTTCAAGAGGTTCAACATTTTCATCACAAGGGTGCCAGAAGGAGCAGAAAAAGAGCAAGAAATTGGAAATCTATTTGAAAAAATAATGAAAGAAAACTTCCCTATTTGGTGAAGGAAATAGACATGCAAGCCTAGGAAGCACAGAGAGTCCCAAACAGGATGGATGCAAAGAGTCCCACACCAAGGCACATCATAATTAAAATGCCAAAGATTAAAGATAAAGAGAGAATCTTAAAAGCAGCAAGAGAAATGCAGAGAGTTACCTACAAGGGAGTTCTCATAAGACTGTCAGCTGATTTCTCAAAAAAAAAATTTGCTAGCTGGAAGGGATTGGTGAGGATTATTCAAACTCATAAAAAGCAGAGACCTACAGCCAAGACTGCTCTACCCAGCAAAACTATCATTTAGAATCAAAGGGTAGACAAAGAGATTCCCAGGCAAGAAAAAACTAAAGGAGTTTATCATCACCAATTATATGAAATTTTAAAAGGACTTATTTAAGAAAAACAAGATCAAAATTATAATAATAAAATGGCAATAAATACATATTTATCAACAATTGAATCTAAAAAACAACAAGCAAACAAGAAAGACAGAATCATGGACAGAGAGCATTTTGATGGTTGCCAGATGCAGGGGGTAAGGTGGAATGGATGAAGAGGTGAGGGGATTAAGAAGTACAAATAGGCAGTTACAGAATGTGCATGGGGATGCAAAGTACATTATAGGAAATAGAGTAGCCAAAGAACTTACACACATGACCCATGGATGTGAACAATGCTGTGACAATTGCTTGAGGGAATGGTAGGTGCTGGGTGGAGGGGGGAAAAGAGGGAATAATTGGGACAACTATAATACCATAATCAAATATAATGAAAAGGGAAAAATAACATTTAATTTCTCCTTTAGCTCCCAAAGAGAAGACCAGCCCTCACAAAAGTAACCCTGGCTTTCCCAAGGTACTCTTCTCCTCATTGCTGATGCTTCTGCTGTTATTGGCAATCTCATTTTTTGTTGCTTTCATCAGTAAGTATCCAAATAAAACTATGAGAAATGTCCACTTTACACAAAGAGATGGTGTTCATTGGATTCTAATATTTAACAAAGGGTTTATCCAAAAATCTAGGATGAAAGATTTTTATCCAAAAATCTAGGATGAATCTTCTCTGTGGGGGTGGATATCATTAGTGGGAATCCATAGGAAATGTTTTTTTATTTGAAATTAGTTAATTTTCTACAAAAACAATGAAATCCGCTCTATAGACATTGAAGAGTATATGTATGTCCATGTGTTTGTGTTGTGAAGTGAAATCTATAAACTGTTATGTTTACATTAATTGTATGAGGACAAATTTTTATTTTCTTGGTTTTTATAAGGCCAGGACATTTTGAGTGCACAGGTATATATTTTGGGACAACAGGTGAAAAGGAAATGAGAAGAAATATAACAGAAAGTGTTTCCCATGGAAATTTCACCTTAATTATTTCTGTCCTGGGCAAAATGTGAAATCTAAAAAGCAATTTGGCAAATAGGTAATATCTGCATATACTTGGTTTTAAGAATTATCAAAGCCCTGACGAGGTGGCCCAGCTGTTGGAGTGTCATCCTGTTCACCAAAAGGTTTCAGGTTCAGTTCCCGCTCTGGACACATACCTAGGTTGTGGTTTTGATCCCTGGTCAGGACATATACAGGAGGCAACAGATTGATGTTTCTTTCTTACCTCCATGTTTCTGTTTCTCTCAAAAAAATTTAATAAATATATCCTTGGGTGAAGATTAATAAAAAGAATTTATCAAATTGTTAAAAGACATAAAAACTAATATATATTGTGCAGATACTTTATTCATTCATTTGGTCATTCAGTAAGCAATAATGGCCATTGACTCTATGTCAGACACTGTGTCAGACAGAATCCAAGCATTGGTGTCAAGAAGTTCAGAGAATGGTAGCAACTGATCACCTGAACCAGTGGTTACAAGGTTGTGCGGTAGTATTGCACAGGCAAGAAGCGCAAGAGGCTGAGATAGGTTTTCTGAAGGAGATGACACAGAGATGTTAGAGAATATGGGAAAAGGTGGGGAAACCTAAGAATAAAAGACTAGAACGTATGGTGCTAAGTGAACTGTGAGAAATGAAGTTGTGGGTGGGAGAAAGAAGTGGGCTCAGGTCATGAAAAGTATTGTGTACAATTCTCAAGAGGATGAGTTTTTACTCTGAAGGTTATTGTATCAGTTATGTCCTGCTGCTTAATAATTATGCCAGTGTAAAACTTAGCGGATGAAAACAGCTATTTTACCCATGATTTTGTGATTTGGCAATCTGGCCTGGGCTCAGTGGGCCTGGCTAAAATCAAGAGGTAAGTGGGGAGAGAGCTGAGGTTAACTATTGCAGGAGATAAAAGAGGAAGAAAACTAAGAAGGAGCCCTGGGATATTACTGATGACCATTACAGGGGTGACTTTCCTAGAGTGGTGGAAGCAGAAACCATTTTTTCTCTATTCCTCCTCCTCCAAGTTTAGCCTTCCTGTTGACCATACATTTATATTGGAGAAGAATATGCATAAGTACCTTTGACCCATAATAATGGAACTGCCATGTCTCTTTCAAGTACTGATCTTGTAGCTATACCTGGATAAATTTCTGATTTCAAAATCAGCAGGATTGGGATTACGTTGAATATGGGTTGAAAGGAAATCTTTCCCATAGTCAGGATCTTCCTACTCAAGTAATTGGGCACTTGTAAGTTTTCTTTGTATAAAGAATGCAAGAGAGTAATAATGAAAAGCAAAGTCATCACACTACCAGGAAAGTGAATGTTCTTATTCTCTTTTTCAGTTTTTTTCCAAAAATATGCTCAGCTTCTTAAAGAAAAAAAGACTGCAAAAGAATTTATCCACACAGAATTGGAGTGTATGAAAGAAAATTTAACCATGGAAGGTAAAAATTAATGTTTCTCTAATTTAGTTGTTGACTATATTATGTAAGGATCCCCAATCAATATTTCTGAGAAGAGTCACAAGTAGATTTTACTAACAGGTGGAGTCTCATGATCATTTCAAGCTTTAATTGTAAAAATATATAGGACCTAAATATCTTATATGAATATCTTTAATATATCTGTGCAAAAAGTAGTCTTTCATTTTTTTATTTTTTAAGTACAGTCACATTCAATATTATTCTGTATTAGTTTCAGATATACAGCATAGTGATTAGACAATCAGGTATCAATCCTTTACAGAGTGGTCCCCTCATATTTCCAGGATCCACCTGACCTCATACATAGTTGTTACGATATTATTGACTCTATTCTCTATGTTATAATTTATATCTCTGTGACTATTGTGTAGCTACCAATTTGTACTTTTTAATCTCTTTACCCCTTTCACCCAGCTTCTCAAAGCCCCTTCCCTCTGTCAACCATCAGTCTGCTTTCTGTATCTACGGGTTTGTTTCTATTTTGTTTGCATGTTTATTTTGTCCTTTAGATTATAACCTAAGTGCCCACCAAGAGACAAGTGGACAAATGCATATATGCAATAAAATACTATTTGGCCATTAAAAGAATGAAATATTACTTTTTGAGATAGCATGAGTGGACCTAGAGAATATTATGCTGAGAGAAATAAGTCAGACCAAAAAAGACAAATATTATATGATTTTACTTATATGAGGTAATTATCTTAATTGTCAAAAAGATTACATTGCTTTTTGATTTCTTGAGTCTTCACTTCTTCCTGAACTTTTTGTGTACCTTCTTGCTCTTTTTCTCACATATCAGTTAAAACTTATTCTCTAATTCTTGCCATTGTGGCTCAGTTGATTACAGCATGGTCCTGTAAATTGAAAGATTGTGGGTTCAATTCCCAGTCAGGACACATGTCTAGTTTGCAGGTTCTGCCCCAGTCAGAGCACACATGAGAGGTTTCTTTCTCACATCGATGTTTCTCTCCTCTCTCTCCATCTCTTCTCCTCTCTCTAAAATCAATAAGCATGCCCTCTGATGAAGATTAAAAAATAAAACTTTCTCTAGAGAGATCTAATCTATTTGTGGTTTAAGAAAATATATTGCATATGCATGAAAAATTTCTGGGAGAATACATAAAATGTTCTTACAGGGAGAGAAAGTCTAGTTTGTTTGATGAAGATGATGATGGTGATGATATAAAGATGATTTTAATATGAATGTGAATATTTTAAATTAGAAAAATAGACTATTTTTAAAGAACAACTTTATAATTAGAGCAAAATTGAATAGATAGTACAGAGAATTCCCATATTACTCCCCTCTCTTAGACATATAATTTCTTTAATTATTAACATTCTACATTAGTAAAATACATTTCTTACAACAAATGAACCTCTAGTATTGATACACTATCATTAATTAAAGTTCATAGTTTATTCAAATTTTCTTAGTTTTTACCTAATGTTATTTTAAAATTTTTATTTATTTCTAAAAATTAATAAACAAATGGGACTTCATCAAATTAAAAATCTTCTGCATGGCTAAAGAAAACAGTAAAAGGAAAAGGGAACCAACCATATGGGAAAATATGTTTGCCAATGATATCTCGGACAAGGGTTTGATCTTCAAAATATAAAAAGAACTCACATGGTTCCACTACAGGAAGTCAAACAATCCAATTAAAATATGAGCAAAGGTTTTGACACTATAATTCCACTGCTGGGATTATACCCTAAGAATCCTGAAACATCAGTCTGAAAGAACCTGTGCACACCAATGTTGGTAGCACCACAATTTACAATAGCCAAGTGTTGGAAGTAACCTAAGTGTCCATCAGTAAATGGGTGGATCAAAAAACTGTGACGCAAAAAACTGTGGCGCCATTTACGCAATGGAATTCTACGCAGCAGAAAGAAAGGAGCTCCTACTCTTGGCAAAAGCATGGATGGAACTGGAGAGTATTATGCTAAGTGAAATAAGCCAGGCGGTGAAAGACCAGTACCATATGATCTCACCTACAAATGGAACCTAATTAACAAAACAAACAAGCAAGCAAAATACAACCAGAGACATTGAAATAAAGAACAAACTGACAATGACCAGAGGGGAGGGGGGGAATAATGGGGGAAAGAAAGGAAGGGTCAAGTCAAGGAACATGTATAAAAGACCCATGGATGGACAAGAACAACTTGGGGGAGGATTGAATGTGGAAAGGGAGGTGGGCAGGGCAAGGGAAAGCAATGGCAGAAAATGGGGACAAGTAATTGAACAGCAATACAAAAAAATTTTAAAAAGAAAAGAATATTGAGTTGGCCAAAAGGTTTGTCTTGTTTTTAAGTAAAAATAAAAGACACATTTTTCATTTTCAACAATAACTTTATTGAACGACATATCCACCATTTTTCCACTACCTTCTGCCATCTTTCAGACAACTTCATAATTCATTTTCCCAAGACTTTTTATCTTTTTGAGCAAAGACCATTTCCAGGTAATTTTTGCAGTCTTCCAGAGAATGGAAATATTTTCTATTAAGAGGATTTTGTAAAGACAGAAGTAAATGGAAATCTGAAGGTGCAATGTCTGATGAATAAGGTGGATGCAGCAGAACTTCCTAGCCAAGCTTTAACAGTTTTTGTCTGTCATCCAAGAAACATGCACTCTTGCATTATTTTGATGGAAGATTATGTGTTTTCTATTGACTAATTCTGGATGCTTTTTGTCAAGTGTTGCTTTCTGTTGGTCTAATTGGGAGCAGTACTTGTTGGAATTAATTGATTGGCTTTCTGGAAGGAGCTCATAATAGAAGACTCCCTTCTAACCCCACCATATGCACAACATTGCCTTCTTTGGATAAAGAATGGCCTTTGGTGTGGTTGATGGTGGTTAATTTTGCTTGCCCCATGATTATTGTAAAGTATCTACTTCTCATTGCCCATCACAATTTGTTTTTAAAACAGAATATTTCCATTATGTTTAAGTAGAGAATAGCATGTGAAAATATGGTCAAGGTTTTTTTTGCTTAACTTACATGGAACCCAAACATCAGAGAGATTAACACAACCAAGCTGGTGCAAATGATTTTTAATCCTTGATTTGGATATTTTGAGTATGTTGGCTCTCTCCTGTGTGGTATAACATTTATAGTTCTCAATTAGTGCCTCTATTTGATCACTATCAATTTCAACTGATCTACCATAGAGCATCATTCAGCAAGAAATCTCTAGCACGAAACTTCACAAACCACTTTTGACACATTAGATCAGTCACAGCACCTTCTCTGTAGATTGCACAAATCTTTTTTTTTGCATTTCAGTTGCATTTTTACATTTCTTGAAGTAATAAAGCACAATATGCTGAAAATGTCGCATATTTTTCCATCTTAGATATTAAAATGGCTACACAAAAATTCACCAGTCTTAATAATTTAAAAAAATGCATGCTGATATGTCAACTGTCATAATACACTCTAGCAAAATTGTTTTAAATGAAAGTAAAGACAACTAAACACTACTAGCATCATCTTACAGAAAAAAAAACAAATGAACTTCTTGCCCAACCCAATGTTTTATTGTTTATGTCATTACAGTTGTTCCAATTTTCCCCCTTTGCCCCCTCCACTCATCTGGTCCCCCACTCCCACAGTCAATCCCCTCACTGTTGTCCATGTCCCTGGGTCACACATATATATCCTCTGACTAATCCCTTCACCTTCTTTCAACCCTAATGGTTTTTAGTTGTTGTTGCTGTTCTAGGATTCCATCAAGGATGCTTCATTACATTTAGTTTTTATGTCTCTTTAGGCTCCTCTTGGCTGTGATTGTTACTCAGATATTTCTTGTTTTTGATGACTTTGACAGCTTTGAGGAATATTGGCCAAGTATATTGTAGGATGCCCCTTTATTGGAAATTGTTTAGTATTTTTCCTATAATTAGACCGGGGCTAATTGGTTTTTGAGAGGAAGATCACAGACACAAAGTACCACTTTCATAATGTCATATCAAGAGTATTATATTATAAACATGATTTTTTGACAGTTGATGTTGACATCAATCACCTGCCTGAGGTAGGAGAGAAAGAGAAGGAGAGAAATGTCAATGTGTGGTTGCCTTTTGCATGCCCCCCACCAGGGACCTGGCCTGCAACCCAGGCATGTGCCTTGACCAGGAATCGAACAGCAACCTTTTGGTTCACAGGCTGGTGCTCAATCCATTGAGCTACACCAGCCAGAACAAAAAAGAAACCTAGGTGGTTTAAACAACAGACACTTATCTTCTCACAGGTCCACAGGCTTGGAGTCTAAGATCAACTTTCTAGCGGGATTGGTTTCTGTTGAGGCCTCTCTTTCTACCTTACAGATGGCTACCTTCTCCTGTCCTCGCAAAGCCTTTTCTTTGCACACAGAAGTAGAGAGAGACAGACAGAGACAGAGAAAACAGAGATAGATATATATCTGGTGTCTCTTCTTATAAAAACACTAGCTCTACTGGATTAGCATTCCATCTCTTGACCTCATTTAATCTTAATTATCTTCTTAAAGACCTGGTTACATTGGAGGTTAGGGCTTTAACATACAAATTTTAGGGGAACACAATTTAATTCATAATATTCAACCCAAAAGTCATATTCTTGGTAAAGTAGTTTTGGTTGTAGGTCCTTGTTTTTCATCACTTTGAACATTTTATGTCAATCCCTTCTGGCCTGAAATATTTCTGTTGAGAGATCAGCTGACAGTCTCATGGGGCTCCCTTTTAAGTGATTACCTGCTTTTTTTCTTTTCTTTTTTTTTTTTTAAAGATTTTATTTATTTATTTTTAGAGAGGGAAGGGAGGGAGATAGAGAGAGAGAGAGAGAAACATCATTGTGCGGTTGCTGGGGGTTATGGCCTGCAACCCAGGCATGTACCCTGGCTGGGAATCGAACCTGGGACACTTTGGTTTCCAGCCCGCGCTCAATCCACTGAGCTACGCCAGCCAGGGTACCTGCTTTTTTTCTTGCTGCTTTTTAAGATTTCTTTTTGCCTTTAACCTTTGCCATTTTAATTATGATGTGTCTTGGTGTGGACCTCTTTGTGTTCATCATGTTTGGGACTCTGTGCTTCCTGTACTTATGTGTCTTTTTTCTTCACTAGATTAGGGAAATTTTTGGTCATTCTTTCTTCAAATAGATTTTGGACCCCTTGCTCTCTCTATTTTCTTCTTGTACCCCTCTAATGTGGATGTTGTTATGTTTCTTGTTGCCCCAAAGTTCTCTTAACCTGTCATTGTTCTTCTTAATTTTTTTCTTTTTTTAAATTTTATTTTAATCATTGATTTTTTTCTTTTTGCAGCTCTGACTGTGTGTCTTTTTTCTACCTTGTCTTCCAAATTGCTGATTTGATCTTCTGCTTTGTCCAGCCTGCTTTTTATTACTTCCAATGTATTCTTGATGTCAGCTATGGTATTCTTCATTTCCATCTGGTTCTTTTTCATGGTTTCTATGTCCTTTTTCATGCAGTTATAGTTCTCACTAAGTTCCTTGAACATCCTTACCACCATTACTTTGAACTCTATATCTGATAGACTGCTTGCCTCTATTTTATTTAGCTCTTTTTCTGGAGAGTCTTCCAGTTCTTTTGTTTTGGGCCTATTTTTTTGTCTCCCCATTTTGGGTATCTTTTTCTATTTACATATTAGATAGATCTACTATGACTCCCAGTTTTCATGTGGTAGCCTTATGTAGCAGGTGTCCTTTGGGACCCAGTGGTGTGATCTCTTTGGTCTCCTGCACTGGGTGCTTTTGGAATATCCCTTGTTTGGGTTTTGTGGGTCTCCCTTTTATACTTCACTCTTGATTGCTGTTGGCCCATTTGTATGTGGGATGGACCCTCAGGCTTTCTGACTATGAAACTCAACTCTTACTATGGTGTGTGAGCTGCTGTGCAGGTGTTGACCAAAAAGAAACAAAAAATAAATAAAAACAACATAAAATATAAAATTAAATAAAGAGAAAAAGGGGGAAGAATAAGAAAAAAGGGAAAAATAAGGAAAGAAAAGGAAATGAAGAACAAGAAAAGAAAAAAGAATAAGACAAGAAGAAGGGGAAAAAGGGAAGGAAAAAACAAAAAAGAAGGAAATAAAGAAATAGAAATGAGAGAAGCAAAAAATTAAAAAGAAAATAATAGTATTCTCCTCAGCAGAGTTTAGTGCCTGCTGTGAGCTATCTTTGGATATGCTGTTTGTGAAGTTTGTTGGGTCTTGCTCTGATGCTGGCCACTTGGTGTATTGGTTCTGGGCTCTTTGGGAGGGACTTTGACACAGGTTAATGTCAGATGCTGCCTGGCCCTAGGCCACCTGCCTGAAGCTATAAGCAATCCACAGTTTGTGCATGACTTTGTTAGACCTGTTAGACAGGAAAAATGCTTCAAGGCCTGCTTTTACCAGTACCAGGCCCAGAGGCATCCAGTAAACATCCCAATGCATCCCAGGATATGTCTCTCTGCTTGCTTCCACCCACCAGCTGCCTGCCAGACTCAGTCACTGAAAGAGCGTCTGGTGGAATCGAGAGGATGAGTCTAGTGGATCTCCTGTGATAGGAGATGCTGTTCAGCCTTCAGGGAAGGTGATAGGTGTGATACTACATTCCAGAACCACACAACTGACTTTGGTTTCCATGTGGTTTGCCTTGGTCCTTAATTTAATTTAATTAGTCTATTTTTTCTATTACAATTATTTTTTCCTCAAAATCTTTACCTAAAAACAGGCAGGCAAAAGAAAAAGGAAATAAATGAGGGCAAACAAAAATTATTGGAGACTCCATGGGATCAGGTGGGAAGGGAGAGGAGCATGGAGCTGAGGCCCCAAGCCTCAGCTGAGAAAGATCTCACTCTCCAAAACTGCCCTCTTTGTGGGGAGAGAAAATCAGGGAATATAACCCCCATGTCCAGCCTCCATCTGGTGAAGAGGGCAGCTACACAGTGGTCTGAGGGACAGAAAGGCTGAAGCGGGTGCAAAGGTGGAAGGGGTCACAGGAATTAGTCAGCCACGGGCTTTGTAGAGGGGAATGCCCTGTCTGTCTTGGGAAATAGCCTCAAAGATGATAAAATCTTTCTGGATATGGTCAACCAGTTTCAAGATGGTTGCCACTTTCCCCCAGCAGTAGCAGTCATGGGTTCCGACCACAAAGTGAGCACAGCCTTATCAGAGTGCTGCTTATAACCCTCCATCACTAGTTGGTGGGCACTGCAGATCATGTTAGCTGTTGATTGCAGGTCATGTCAATGTTGTTGGCTGTACTGAACTGGACCACCATGTCATTGACAAATAAGTAGCTAGCCCCATGTGGGCTCATACTCCCAGCCTGTTGTGTGTTGTGTCTTTGGGGAAAGACTAGAGCAGGTCGCGTAGGGGCCCATCCCCTGAGGCACTTCTTGCTTGCAGTCAATCATCTGGATCTGCAAGTGTCCAGATGGAGGGGAGAGGCCCTCATGCATGCAGAAGATTTTGTCATCAATGATGGCTGACAGGCTGAGGTGGACAAAAGTCTCAGGGCAGCAGTGCCACAGTCACCAGGCCATATTTATGCAGTCACTCATCAGAGAAGCCTTATACCTGGGCGGTCTGACAGCTGTTGTGGTTGCTCCTGATCAGGGTGATTCTGTCACGATAGTGAACCTTAAGTGCCAGCAGCAGGATGAATGTTTCAACGCTGTAGAAACCACAATCCACAAAGTCCCTCATGAAGAGGTAGTTGGTCTCAGGGACATCACCACCCACTCTGAACAGCTGTTTGAGGTCATAGAATTGTCCGTTAACATTGCTGCATACTGTGACTGGCATGTCCACCCTCTGCACGTTGCTTTCCTCTGCCAAGATCTCTCTGGTCTTAGCACACAGGACCTTGACTTCACTTTCCTCAAAGAGTTTGCAGTGTCACAGCTGCTCAATATGCTGGTCCAGGTCGCTGATCTCTGCTATGTAACCCCTGCCTACACCCCCACCACGCCCGACTGTGAGGGTCAGACCAAGGGTTAGGGCAGCACTGCACAGGGGTTTCTGGCGCTGTGACTATGGCTCGGGCTCTTGGGCTTCCTGCCTTCCTCCTTCCCTCTGGTTTGGGCTGCTGCCTCCACCGCTTCTTCTTCAGTCCTTAATTTTAATACACACTTTGAAAATTACTTTTCTTATATTGCACCTACATGGTCTTCTGTCACTATAGAGAAATACTGGAGCTGCTGTCCAAAGAAATGGAAGTCATTTAGGTCGAATTGCTACTTTATTTCTACTGGAAACAAAAATTGGACGGAGAGTGAAAAGAACTGCTTAAGAATGAAGGCTCACCTGCTGGTGATCAACACCAAGGAAGAGCAGGTACGTTCTAATAGATAATGTGTCAAAAACCCAGCCTGGATTTTGCACACCTCTCTTGGCAAAGGAGGAGGTTCTCATTGCTTTCGTATATTTGTCTGTGGCAAAGGCATTCAATAGAATAGGAAAGGCTTCTTAAGTCATTCAATACCTTTTTTTCTGCTTCCATAAAACTAAACTCTCCCAAAACAAATGGAGACATATAATATGTGGGTTATGAGTGGAAGGATGAAAATATTTTAGCCTGAAAAATATCAGTTTATTATTTAAATATGTGAATATTTTATAAATCATTAACTAACAGAGAAGTGGCATTAAGTCAAATAGGGAAATAAAATAAAAAAATGTGAGGTTGTGAAAGGAAAATGATCTCATCTGCAAAGGTTTACTCTTGTCTAACTTGAAACAGTTCCCTCTCTTAATGAAGAAAAGAGAGGAGTGAGTCTGAGGTGAAAATTCATTGTGATCATGATAGCAATTGAACATTACTATGTTCTGAGTATGTTGTCCTCTCTGAATTTGTGTGTTGAAATTCTAACTCTCAAAGGTGATAGCATCAGAAATTGGGATCTTTGGGAGGTGCTTAGGTCATTAGTGTGGAGCCCTCATAAATCTGATTAATGTTCTCATAAAAGAGACTCCAAACAGCTACCTCACCTTCCACCATGTGAGGACACAGCCAGAAGGTGCCAGCTATGAATTAGGAAGAGGGATTTACCCAACCATGTGAGTACCTCAATCTGGAATTCCAGGCCCCAGAACTGTGAGAAATATACTGCTATTGTAAGCTACCCTGTCTGTGATATTCTGTTATAGCAGACTGAGTAGACTAAGACAGACATCAGGCTCACAAGTGATGTCAATGATCCTGTACTGTGCAGCCAGAGAAGGCCTACACTCCTGGGCAGGGCTCCCATGTGGCTTTTGCTGGATCATCTCTCCTTTCCTTCTGTTCTCCCCAAGGCCGTAAGAAACTCAATTCAACCTGAATACTCGTAAGCCATAGCTCTTCTCTTTTCTCTCTCAGAATTTTATCACTCAGAACCTGGATAGAAAGTTTGCTTATTATGTGGGGCTGTCAGACCCAGAGGGGAAAAGAGCCTGGCAATGGGTTGATGGGACACCATACAATGAAAGCGCCACGTGAGTATAGTACTAGATAAAGGAACCCCAAGTCCTGGATCTTCATGCATGTTAGGGTGTCCAAACTATCAGATATTAAAATAAAATATCTCACCCTTCTGTTAACTCTTGGGCACTCAGTTAAATAATTTCATTTATTATCTCATTTAATAATCACAAGAACTCTATGAAGTACACATTATTATCTCTCTCACTGTAGAGCTGAGGAATCTAAGTTTAGAGTTTAGATAACTCAGAGTATGTTATCCAGCAGTGGTGACAATGGTTTTTAAAGCCAGGTCTATTTTACACGAAAGTCTGTGCTTTTAAACACATGTTTATGTCTCTAAACAAACACAGAGTCATGTCAATTAAGATCATAACCAATTGTTAATATTTATTATCTCATGAAGCAAATGAACTAAATTCTGATAGTTTTATAATATCCCATATTTATATAGGTCTTTTAAAACTCTAAAGTACTTTAGTACATTTTAGTACGTCACTATTTTTGATTCTTATATTGTATGTGAAATATACAGGTATGTTACTCAATTCTTTATTTTTAGATATGTAAATGAGGTAAATTAAATGACTTGACCAAGATAACAGGCATAGCAGCGGATTCATAGATTCTTAATTATTGAATACTTCTTTAGACTCCAAAAGCAGTACATTACAAAAAAACTGCAGTGAGACTTGGGACCAGGGTAAACCTTTTCATTCATTAAGGGAGCCCATGGACTGACAGTCCCCTGGAATGGGGCATGGACAAATAGAGCAGAGACTCCAGAATACCTCCTTGGAAAGTGTTTAATGCAATCAGATGACTGAGTGATGTAGGCACAGTTTTCAAGGGAAATGCCAGAGACACAGATGGAGACAAAAACTGCATGATAAAGTGGGGGAGAGATGATTGGGCATGTCTGCCTTGCATTCCACACAGTTCAACCCCTGCACCCTCTTCTCACTGACTCTAACTTTCTCATTATTTGAAGACACATCCCCATCTTTTTTTCCTCTTTCAGATTCTGGCATCCAGGTGAACCCAGTGATTTCAAGGAACGTTGTGTTATACTGAATGCACCTCAGCAACACTCATGGGCTTGGAATGATGTCCCTTGTTATGGCCGTCACTCGTCAATTTGCAAGATGATGAAAATCCACTTATGAATGGGACACTCTCCATGAACATGTGATTGAATTGACATCCCCCATTGAAGAGATAGTTAATTTGCTTTTTAAAATTCAGGTGATTCTAAGTGATTCCAGAGAATTTTCCAGTAGGCTGTCACCTATTCAACTTATGTACACTAAAACCAGTGTACATATTCTTTCATTTATTCCTTCATACAGTGAACACCTGTTGAGCATTTTCCATGGGCAGACAGTGTACTGGAGAGCCTATCTGCAGATAAACAGAGAGAGCATGAGCCTTCTCTCCTGATTTTTGTCTAGATTTTGCTAAGGGGTTAGATGCTGATATAGTAATATGATGTGGTTCTTCCATCTATCTGGAATTATCTCTTTATAGGTTGGTCAAAGGCAAATAATACCAACCATTGCATTCCAGTTCCCTCAGAGAGATTCATTATTTTCACTCAAAACATATTATTTATCAGTTGGAATATATGTACATCAATGGAAAATAAGTTCCAGCTTTGGCCCAGTTAACATTCTCTGTTTGGTCTTGAACTGTCATTCAATATCAGAGTACAGGCATAGGATTATCAGCGATTGAGCATTGGATATTTAGAATTAGAGAATTAAAAGTTATTACTGATGTAAAAAGAATATAAATGGTGCCACTTTAAAATGGAGTCAGAGCTGCCATCCCAAAGCCTTGGAATGTTAAAACTTGGCAAAATAACCTTTGGAGTGGACCTAAAGCAGCATTATATCCCAAACCCTTGGCAAAGATAGCAACAACAACAACAACAAAAAAGCTATTATAACTTCCTGACTGAAAATGAGATACCTTCTTTAGAATTAGTATTATTATGTAGTCTGTCTGCACCTCTAGAAATCCCTTCTGTCTATTTATATAATGGTTCACCTTACCTTTCTCAAATACCCCTTACCATCAACTCCTAGTTGGAACACTAAGTTTCTGCCTGAATCAGTGCTTCCAGAATAGCTTTTGGATCTTAAAAAAATGTTTGTTGATTCTCACTTTGGTCTTTTATTTTTAGGTTAACACTGGTAGTTGACATAGATTTAATTTCATCAGATATTCTGATACATTTTTTCTTTAAGCATTTTAATTTCTATGTGTGGACTGCTACTCAAAATGGCCCCTGGCATATTTATACCCCCCTTTTACTACAGTTCATATACATTATTTCCTTTCTATAATATAAAATATATGATATTTATAATAAAGTCTGTATTCATTGCTTTAGTATAGTCATTGTAATAGATTGTGGTAAAGCTGATTTTCACCTTGGCTATCCCACTGTGACCTAAAATTATACCTTGATTTTCTTGATTTAACTGAGTAATTATATTTACCATCATTTCTTGACTATATGTAACGTTGAGTTATCTTTATACTGGCATGATTTTATACATTATATGCAGAATATACCAGTTTACTTCCACATCACAATTCTGGGAAAATTTGGGGGAAACTTTATTTACAATGAGCTTTCCTCATTATTATTTCAATAACATGGGGACAGAATGTAGGGAGGGCAGAAAGAACCACTTTACCTAAACCTTTGATTATCAGCATAGAAGGTGTGCTTGAACAGGAGTGAAATGGAGGATGATAATATTGTTTAGTGCTGGAACTTTTCTCCTTCCTCTACTTTACATTGCATGAATGTGGTTCAGAGCCTATTTCTTTAATTTTTCCTAGACACTATTAAATCAACATTGTGTATAGTAGCTTCTATGTAAAATTTGTGTTAAAGAGGGAGTTTAAATGAAGAAGCATCTAGTTGAGTCCTAGAAAATGGGTAGAATTGTGAAAAATAACACAATTATTTATAGCCACTAAGTTGTGGGGTAATTTTGTTATTCAGCAATATATAACTGAGACAACTTTAAATTATATTACAGTTTTGAACCAAGATTCTGCAAAATATTGAAACATACTCAATCACACTGCTGCCTCTAAAAAGATTAGTAACAATTTAATGAGAGTAGATTAATTGTACTAGTGATAAATAAAATGTAATATTAAAATGTTCAGTGTTGATATCATTTAATTCCTGTTATTGTATAGTGGGTTTGTTTTGTTATATTACATCATAGGTTTGTCGTTCTTAAATATATCTTCAATAGTAAATGCGCATATAATAATTTTTCTCCTATTAAGGATGTGCAATCAAAAATTGTTTTGATCTCACTATTCTAGAAAAATTCACAAGTAAGTAAGTAAATAAATAAATCTATCAATGCTTCAAGCTCCTTTGGTCAAAGTACCACTTGGTAAATGAACTGGGAGGCAGAAACTCAGTGGACTGTCCAGTACTGGGAAAAAATACTTTTGCCCATTGGGATTGGAAATAATTAACCTTGATGATATTTCTAAAGGTTGGATTCTTTTGGCACCTGACAACACTTCTAGGCCTGTATAAGTTAATTTTCATTAGATGATCTTAATACCAAAACAGGAATTAATAGTTCTGTCTTTGCTAACATGAAAATCATCAATGGTTAGCGCTTTGTCAAATATAGATTTTATGACTCCAGGATAGAAGAAATAATGTGAAAACTCAACTGTTAAACCAAATATGTAGTATAAAGATTTGATTAATCATATTCTGTCCACAAAATGAAATACTCTGCATTAGTTAAATTGTTGCAAATGAGATTTTATAATTAGGAGTTTGACACATACTTGTTGGGCTATTTATCCTGTTTTCCTTCAAGCAAAACTTCAGTGTTGTTTAGAGAGTCACAAGCTTCTCAAGTACCTTGGGATGCTAACCAACTTCATAATCAGCTCCATGGGTGGATACCAATTAATCCAAGGTAATCAAAATAGCCACCTAGTGGTTGGTTTAGCCATAGGCACAAATTGCAAGTTATTCCCATGAACTGCCTCTGTTTTTTCTCAGAGGAATTATGGAACTAAATCTCCCTCTCCCAAATAATATGAATAAAGAACTATGTAGTTCTTACTGCTCATAGTCATGCTATGATCATGATGGGAACTAGCCTTAGGAAGACAGGAACACCTTCCATATCATTTGTAGCTTGATAGCTCATTTCTTTTCATTGCAGGAGATATCTTAGTATATGAATATACTATAGTTTATCGATTCACCTATTACAGGACATCTTGGTTGTTTCCAGTTTTTGGAAATTATGAATAAAGCTGATACAAGAATTTATGTGCAAATTTTTGTGTACCTGTTTTTAGCTCATTTGGTAAACACCCTGGAACATGATTGCTGGACTGTATAGTTAGTAAGTCCATGTTCAGCTTTGTAAGAAACTGTCAAACTGTTGTTCAGTGTGGCTATATTAGTTTTCATTCCCACCAGTTATGAGTGACACATTATTTCTCCATATCTTCATCAGATTTTCACAGAGTCAGGGTTTTTTTTTTTTAAGCCATTCTAATAGGGATTTAATAGTGGTATTTTGTTGTTTTAATTTGCAATTTCGTAATGACAAAAAATATTGGACATCTATTAATATGCTTCTTTTGCCACTGTATAACTTCCTTGTTATGGTGTCCATTCAGATCTTTTGCTCACTTTTTAATTCAGTTGTTGGTTTTCTTTTTTTTTTTAAGATTTTATTTATTTATTTTTAGAGAGGGGAAGGGAGGGAGAAAGAAAGGGAGAGAAACATCAATGCGTAGTTACCTCTCGTGCACCTACCAGTTGCCCTGGTTGTCAACTGGGGACCTGGCCCACAATCCAGGCATGTGCCCTGACTGGGAATCGAACCAGAGACCCTTTGATTTGCAGGCCAGCACTCACTCCACTGAGTCACACTAGCTAGGGCTAGTTGTTAGTTTTCTTATTGCTGAGTTTTAAATGTTTATTGGCTATTTTGGATACTTTTACTTTTTTATCCAATATTTAAAATTTTACTTAAGATTTCTTCTTTGACTCATGTGTTATTTAATACCAGAGTATTTTAGGGTTTTACAGCTATCTTTCTGTTATTGATTTCTAGTTTAATATCACTGTGGGCTGAACACAGACATTGTATGACTTCTACTCTTTTAACTTTTTTAGAAAACACTTAAAGTGTTGTTTTTTTTTTCCCAGAATATGGCCTGTTGTGGTAAATGTTACACTTGAGAAGAATGTGTATTCTGTTTTTGGATGAAGTCTAAATGTCAATTAGATTCACTTGATTAATGGTTCTGTTCAGTTTCATTGAATTCTTACATATTTTAGTTCAAGATCTGTCAAAACTGTGAAAGTGGTGTTGATAATAAGGGATTTCTCTAGTTCTCCTTGCATTTCCATCAAGGAGATGGAAAGGCTCCATCAAGGTGCAATGTCTTGCTTCATGTATTTTGATACTCTGTTGTTAGGTGCATTCACATTAAAGATTGTTATGGCTTCTTGGAATATTTATGTCTTTATCATTATGTAATGCATGTCTTTATTCCTGATAATTTTTGCTCTGAAGTCTGCTTTCTGTGAAATTACTATAGCTACAGAGCTTTATATGTAAATATAATATATATGAGGACTGTCCAGAAAAACTCTAACCATTGTTAATATAATGAGAATGGTTTGAGCAAAATTGATGTAATGAGGCAGGCAAGGAAAGTGGAATGGAAGGTGTATGCATGAACAATTATGACTTCACTGTACTAGTCTGCTATGTAGTACAACATTGTGAAAATGTACCACAGTTTTTTTACCCACTCACTTACTGTTGGAAACTTAGGCTGTTTCCAGCACTTGGCTGTTGTAAATTGTGCTGCTATGAACATTGGGGTGCATAGGTTCTTTGGAATTGGTGATTTGGATTCTTAGAGTATATTCCCAGCAGAGAAAGTGCTGGATCAAAAGGCAGTTTTCATTTTCAGTTTTTTGAGGAAATTCCATACTGTTTTCCACAATGGCTGCACCAGTCTTCATTCTCACCACTAGTGCACTAGGGTTCCCTTTTCTCCACATCTTCTCCAACACTTGTTGTTTGTATATTTATTAATGATGACCATTCAGTATCAAAAAACTATGGTACATTTACACAATGGAATTCTATGCAGCAGAAAGAATGAAGGAGCTCCTACCCTGTGCAACAGCATGGATGGAACTAGAAAGCATTATGCTAAGCAAAATAAGCCAAGCATTGAAAGACAAATACCATATAATTTCATCTTTAACAGGAACCTAAACAACAAAACAAAGAAACAAGCAAAATATAGTCAAAGACACTAAAACAGAGAACAGGCTGACAGTGACCAGAGGGGAAAGGGGAGGGAATTTCAGGGTAAAAGAGGATGGGTTTACAGGAACAAGTATAAAGGACATATGGACAAAAACTAGGAGGGCGGGGTGGAAATGGGAGGGAGGTGGGGAGGGGTGGGGGGTGGTGGGCTGGCATGGGAGTAAAAGGCAGAAAATATTACTTGAACAACAATTAAAATAAAAAAAATAATGATGACCATTCAGACTGGTGTGAGGTGATATTTCATTGTGGTTTTACTTTACATCTCTTTGATAGCTGGTGATGTTGAGCATCTTATCATATGTCTATGGGTCGTCTGTATGTCCCCCCTAGAGAAGTGCCTATTCAGGTCCTTTGCTCATTTTTAATTGGATTGTCTTCCTGGTATTGAGCTCTATGAGTATTTTATATATTTTGGTGATCAAACCCTTGTCCGATGTATCATTGGCAAATATGTTCTCCTATACAGTCAGTTCCTTTTTGTTTTGATGATGGTTTCTATAGCTGTGCAGAAGCTTTTAAATTTGATATAATCCCATTGTTTATTTTTTTTCTTTATTTCCCTTGCCCTAGGAGATATATCAGCAAAAATATTGCTACATGGGATATCTGAAATTTTAGTGCCTGTTTTCTTCTAGAACTTTTGTGGTGTCACAACTTATATTTGTCTTTTATCCATATTGAGTTTATTCTGGTGTATAGTGTAAATTGGTGGTCTAGTTTCATTTTTTCCATGTACCAGTCCAGTTCTCCCAACACGATTTATTGAAGAGTCTATTTTTACTCCATTTAATACTTCTACTCCCTTTGCTAAATATTAATTGACCATAGAGACTTGGGTGTATTTCTGGGCTCTCTATTCTGTTCCATTGATCCATTGGTCTGTTCTTTTTTTATATGTTATTAAATACTTTTGAATTTTACTGTTGTTCAAGTACATTTTTCTGCCTTTTCCCCCATTCCTCCCCACAACCCCAGCCATCCCCACTGCCCTCCCCTGTTTCCCACCCCCTCCTTATTGTCCATGTGTACTTTATAGTTGTTCTTGTAAACCCTTCACCTCCCCCTGCCATTATCCTCCGCCTTCTCTCCTCTGGTGACTGTCAGTTTGTTCTTAATTTCAGTATCTTTGGTTATGTTTTGCTTGTTTGTTTGTTTTGTTAATTAGGTTCCACTTAAAGGCGAGATCATATGGTATTTGTCTTTCACTGCCTGGCTATTTCACTTAGCATAATGCTGTTATGCTTACCATCCATGCTGTTGCAAAGGACAGGAGCTCCTTTATTTCTGCTTCATAAAATTCCATTGTGTAAATGTACTACAGTTTTTTTATCCACTCATCTACTGATGGGCACTTAGGTTGTTTCCAGCACTTGGCTATTGTAAATTGTGCTGCTATGAACGTTGGGATGCATAGGTTCTTTGGGATTGGTGTTTCAGTGTTCATAGGATATTATCCTAGAAGTGGAATTGCTGGATTAAAAGGCAGTTCCATCTTTAGTTTTCTAAATTTCGTAGGAAATTTCGGAGGAGATTTCGTAGTTTTCCATGATCATTGCACCAGTCTGCATTCCCACCAACAGTGTACTAGGGTTCCCTTTTCTCCACAACCTCTCCAACACTTGTTTGTTGCTTTGTTTATGATGGCCATTCTAAATGATGTGAAGTGGTGTCTCATTATGGTTTTAATTTGCACCTCTCTGATGGCTAGCAATACTGAGCATCTTTTCATATGTCTCTGGACCCTCTGTATGTCCTCCTTGGAGAAGTGTCTGTTCAAGTCCTTTGCCCATTTTTTAATTGGGCTCCTTGTCTT